CTGTGACTTCGGACACTTCTTACTAGTGATGAAGTGGGTCGTAAACATATCCGCGAACTGCACCCAACTTCTTATGGAACCTGGCACAAGGTTTCTGTACTAGGTCCGAACTACTCCTCTCAATGTGGTGGAGAAAGCCACGAACATACAAGCCTCGTCGACCCTAGCAAGATGCATATGGGACTGGAATGCGTCTACATGATCGTTAGGATCAAAGGACCCATCGTACTTGTCTACAGGCGGCACCTTGAAATCTTTCGGCATTGGGGCCGCTAGGAGCTCGGGTGATAGGGAGAAGGCTGACTCAAAAGAGCAGGCATTGTTCCTGTGGCCACCAAGCTCACCTCCTTTCTTTCTCGACCTTGATCTACTGGATGGCTGCGCTTCGCTGGTGAATAATTCCTTGCTGATGAATGGCGAGTCTTGCGACATCGCCGCTGTTGCTTCTTTGGTGGAGCGACATTTGTGCTACCGGCCTCTGTGTTGTCAAGTGCTTCGATCTTACTCTGAATAGTAGGGCGAGGTGGTTCAGAGATTCTCCTCGCCGCTTCCTCTTCATCGCGTGCTCAGTGCTGGCTGTTGTGCGGAACCGAGGGGTCTCTTCTCGAGCCCTCGCCTCGGGCCCCGAGCTGACGATCTCCATGAGAAATTTGCTAATTGTTCCTCTCGGGCTGGATGGGTTCAAGCCTATCCCTTGAGCTCTCTCTTTGGGAAGTAGGGGGAGTACGCCGGTCGCCTACTGTACCCTGTGGTGAGGTTCGTCCCGAGGGAGGGACCGGTACCTGCGAAGTTCTCTCCCCGCGGGGGGGAGACTGGCGGACGTTCTGGTGAGCCTGATGCTAATTCTGATTCTGGATTTGCCCTTGATGATGGTTTGTCGGCTGGGTTGGTTGTAGTGGTGGGAACTACTGTTGATATTGTTGGTAAAAATAGTACTACTGAAACTGCTGGAACTGGTGGATCTGCATCGTTCGAACGCTCTGGACAAGGTCGTTGAACTGGGAGTGCCCGACTCCAAGGGGAATCATAGAAGGCTTCGAGAACGTGGCGTTCACCTTGGGGAGCGGGACACTCACTTGTTGGGTAGTGTGCGGCACTGACAGTGATGGGACCCCGGAGGCAGTCAGAGGAATGGTGAACTGGCCGATAGTCACCAAGGACCATTGGGGAGTGACTATCTACTGCTCTTGCCCCCTAGTAATGTTCATGTTACTCTTTCCGTTGTGGCTGAATGATGCCATTGAGGTTGAAACTGAGTCTGAGACTGTAAATAGAATTGGGATGACCTTTCGATCATTCCCACAAACGACACCAATTGATGATGCGTGATCTGGGAGCTCCTAGCTGGAGGATTGCCTGGGCGTACTCGCATGGTGAGCTGGATCAAACTACAAAACAAGGATAACAGTGACCAGGGTGGATGACCCGGGGAGGTTGCTCCGATGCTTAAGTCAATATTCTTGTTGTGGTTGCGAGCTAAAGTTTGAGTGCTAGAGAACTTGAATGTAAGTAATCGCGCGTACCTGAACCCTGGAGGGATTGATGCCCTTATATAGCTGAGCTATCATGGATCTCCCGGAACGGTTCCGGGATCTGCGGCCTGAGTGGATGAGATCCGTTTCTGCTTTAGTCAGGGAGTAACGTATCAGTCAATGAAGTTTATCGTCGCCGCCCGATCCGGGCAGGGAGAGGATAAGGCCTGCCGTTACGCAGTGTGATCCTGTGATATTCGAAGTCTGCTGGGAAGCTTCTGGAATCAATTGCGTGTCACTTCGGTTCCTGGGCCCCGAACTTGATTAGGCGTCGAGGTGACTCTATGCTGAGTTGTCCTCATGTCGAGGTGACTTTATGCCAAAGTGGCATTATGCCGAGGTGACCTTATGTCGATGTGGCATTACATCCGAACTCTATAAACTGTTGACTAAGCTCCCCTTGCTGAGTTGTCATTCTATGGGCAGATCGCATCCACATGACCTTTACTTAATAGGTCGTGCCAAATTAACCCTCATCAAGACCCATAGTACAATTAGGGTAGGTGCCAACTAGGAGTTGATGCCAATTCACGGGCGGGCATAGAGTAAGGGTATTTGACATTAGGGTTGTTCATAAGAAGGCCCAACTCGACCAAACCGACCAACCCGAACTTAATCGACTTAGTTTCTAGTTCAAACATAAAGTTCCAAAGCCCATTAGGCCACCTAGTTTTTGAATGGTTGCAAGAAACTTTGGATTAGTGAATAGTGATTAATGAACAACTTTTGTGATTAACTTTTCATTTAAATTTTATCATAGGAGATGACTGAAATGATGTTCAATTTATGACTGTTTTTAAAATTAGCAAGATTTTATCACAATGATGAACTTAGAACCGAAACCAACCCAACCCAACTCAAACCGACCAGGTCGATTTTGCTTAACACTGGGTCAATTTTGGTTTCTATGTCAAGTAACCCGAACAGGTCAGGTCAGTTGGAAAAACCGCAATAAACCAACCCAACCCGACCCATGAACAACCCTATTTGACATTTTGAATATTTATAGGTCAGTAGTAGAATTCAAAAATCTACATTGGGCTATTCATACTTTTTTGCATAAAGGAATTGTTTCAATTGGAATCCAGATCACCTGCCAACAAAACATATTCCAACCCTCTGCCAACATAATCTCACATCTCACATGGATCCCAGTTTTATAGTAAGATGTGCAATGTTACATCAAATTAATAAATTAATAGAGAGTTTGGAATATGTTTTGTTGGCAGAATATGTCAATTCCTTCAATTGAGTATGAATCTCCCATAGGGTGTCCTTATTTTTTATAAATAGTATAACATCACATCATTAACCATTTTTAACCATTTTGATATTTATACATAATTCCTTTTTTTTTTCAAACGGGGCTCTCTACGGTTCTTTACCGGGACAAATCATCCAATATACCAATTGAACCACTCTTAGTTGACAATCCAAAACGTTTATGATGATATGATATGACAAGTATTTGACAATTCATATTTTAACACCAATTTCTATTGATGAACTCCAGATATTTCATGAAGAAACAGTAATGCCACCAAACACATCCCTACTTTGTTATCTCCAAAATACGACCCCCAGATAGCTAACAGGCGATGCAAAGGGGAATGCATCCACTGGCTGCATCGCCCCTTTCCTGACTGAAGCGCCGGAGTCGGTTTTAGTTGGACGGTGTTCCGTGGTTTCAATGGAGAATCAAAGTCAATGATGATTAGACGAATGATTTAAGAGATAGGACACTCAAAACAAATCAGATGTCGGTTTGGACATTTTGACGCAATCCTTTTATACAATTGACACGTGTACAAGCTAACGAGATGGGTCCCATCTTCCAATATTTTTTTTATTTGTTTTTTCCCCTAAACTGACTAAAGCAGTTATAGATTCTTAAATATTGAGCGCATGCCGTGCGTCCGGCTATCACCTATGCCTACTCCCGGTCATCCCCACATCCATAAAATAAATGAGAATCGAGAAATACAACTATGCTCACGCATTTAAAATATAAAATTAACATTGTATAATTATAAACTAGAATCTCCAAATACCTTCACTGAGATAACCTAGCTAGCTATTTGCATTAATAATTTTATTATTTATTAACCCACACCAGCCATTCTTATTGTTATTTATCTATTAAAAGAAAACATCTTGAATTATTCAAATGACCACATGAATATAACAATTTGTACTATTGTTTTGCTTTTTGCACCATCAATTCCTTTTCCGCTTAGAGAACAACACTCTTCAGATTATTCGAATACTCTTACTCATGATTTTTCTTCTTTGTTATGCTGATTCCTCAGCTTATTAAGATATTCTAGGATTTCTATAGGGGATTGATTTCAGCACAACTCATTTTTTGATAAATTGAGTATTTAATCCTTAGTGGAAAGAAAAAAAAAAGGAACTATATATCATAAAAGTCAAAATATGGGGATATTTTTGTCTTTTCAAATATATTTCTTTTTAGGGTTGTCGCTGTATTTTAATTTTTAAACGTCCGAAACCCGATCCAACATCTATTTCGATTTATTTCCAATTCAGATCTTAAATTCTACATCCATTTCAAAATAAGATACATAGTTTTTGAACTGTGTTGATTCAAGCAGTTAGACCGTTCGACATGGAAACCATGGTTTTTATAACCAAATCGGATCAGAGGGCCAGACTCGAAAAATCGGGAATTGATCACTTGACCGGTTTCATTTTTTCTCAAAAGTGATTTTTTTCCCTCAAAATCGTTGATTTTGGTCAGCAAACCGCTGAACCGTCCGGTTAGTCGTTCGAACTGTTCAAACGGTTTTGACCGTTTTTCAATTTTTTTATTTTTTTGTCAAAACGAGCCAACCATTCAAACCGATAACTGGACCCCTAACCGGTTCAATCACCAGGTCAGTTTTAAAAACCATGATGGAAACTGGTTAGGAGATTAGTTTCATTTCGACCCTAAACCATTTTTTTTTTGTCAAAAAACTATTGAATTATTTAGTAATGTATGACCTAGGCAGTCGAACTATTAATCCATCATAGTAACCTTGTCTTACACTTACATTCTTAAGCCTTAAATAATCATCACTCATAAGATTTGTATATATATACATTTATAATTAATAAGTTCAATATTTTATATTTATATTATATATGTAAGTTAAAAATCCGATCCGATTCGGGTATGATAGGAAATCCGATCCGATTACAGCCATAGTCTTGAATGGGGATATACCCAAAATCCAAATCACTCACAATTGAAAATTCAAATTAAATAATAGTTGACTTTTCACCACTCACAGTACAGTACAGAGTGAGCAAGAACAGTATGGGTGTGCTGGGAGACGTGACAAAGCGACAGAACCGGAGTGGGTTGCGGTCTTGAGCTTCCGAGACGGGTAACCGACAACTGTCACGCATATATAGATAGTTCCAGGTTAACAGTACAGGTTTTTTAATAGAAAAGTAACCGAATAAAAAAATTGGAAAGAGCCAGGCAGTATCTTCGTTGACCTTGGATGTACAGAGAGAGATGATGATCAAAGGAAATATGCTACGCTACTATCTCATCTTATTAGTATGAGATTGGGAACATGAAATAACTCTTCTTTTCTAAGACTCCGTAATGGTGGTGTCTATGAAACAAGTGTGGTGGTGGAGAGAGAAGAGATTCTCTTCTATGTTTTCTCTCCTCTCTATTTGGCGGACAAAAAGAGAAAAAGAAAAATAAAATGGAAAGTTGGGAAATCTAGTATCCAATGTCGGGGCCGGGGGTGCGCGTCTTTTCCGGCATGTCAGATGCCACCGGCGGCGGCGGCGGCGTTTTGGGCGTGCCAAGGAACGGGAGAGGGCTCCGATAAATGCTCGGTAAAACAGTCGTCGAAGGCCGGGCCAGTGGAGGAGGGTGTGACACTGGTGGGTCCGGCGAGTTCTTCTAAGCCCATGAAGAAGTCGTCGTTTATCACATCTGGGATGAGTAGCTCGTCTTCGTCGTCGTCCTCCACCATTTCTTCTCCGTCGTCCTCCCGGCTTTCTTGCTTCATCGGTTGTTCGTCTTCAACGGAGGTAGTTGATGGGGTCGTTGGTGAGAGACCACCTGTTGAAGTTGGGGAAGCGCAAGACGGTTTTGTGGTGTTTGTGTCGGGTTCGCCGGTGGTGGGTCGTTGAGGTGTAGGGAACTTGTGTCGGGTGCTGCCGGCGAGGGAGTTCCGGTGGGTTGGGAGGGGATGGTTGTGCTCGGCCGTATAGGTTATGATGAACATCCCAGGGTCGGTGCGGCTCCGCTCGACTTGTTTCCTCGCCAAACATCCTTTTGAGCTGCTACATCTGTAATAGCCCCTGTTTTCCAAACAAGCAATCCATAAGTACACGAGAAATCACAGAATAATTAACGAAAGTAACAGGAAAGAAGAGAAGAAAAATGCGTGAAACCCTAGAGACTAAAGACCCACCTGGGATAGGGCGAGCCCTTGATTGGTTTCTGGCCGTACTTTCGCCAAGCCCACATGTCGGAAGAGAGGCCTTCGGCGGGCACCTGGCACACAACCCTCTTCTGCTGGTTCTTCCTGTAGAAACAAAATAGAAAATGAAACAGATTAGCAAACGTCTTAAGACATTGGTATCTGCAAAATTTTCAGTTTTAGCTTGTTCGTGACAACAAATCCAGAAAACGACTAACCTTCTCTTGGATCGAGGGGCCTGAGAATGTGCAGTGGTAGTAGTGGCTGCAGCAGCGGGAGCAGTCCCGACGACAGAGCCCTGAGGCTGCTTTCGTTGTTGTTGTTGTTGCTGCAGTTGTGGTTGCTGTTGTTGTTGTTGGTCTTTTAATTCGCCGAGAGGAACTTTGAATGAGGTGGTGAGGTTTTGTGCGGAGAGAGATTGAAGCTTGGGGAAGAAGGGCTTGTACAATTCCTCTAATTCTTCAATAGCCGTCCGCGATTGAAAGAGATCTGGGGAACGAAGGAGATAATCGTCTTGTTCAAGAGCCAAAGGAGAAAAGCAAGAGAGAGGATCCTCCGTGAAGGAAGTGGTGGCGGTGGTGGTGGTGGTGGTGGTGGTGGTGGTGGCGCCCATGGTGCAGCCTCTCACTACCGCTTGTAGATCCCAGTCGACTTCCATGCCTGTGAAATATCCGGATACGCCTTGAAACTTGCGCGATTGATTATTAACCCCACTAGCTCTGTCTCTGTCCCTGCTTCTGTCGTCGTTGCTGCTGCTCCCGTTTCGGCATAGAGAGAGAGATGAAGGGGAGAAAGGACGGCGCTGACTTTACAAGGAAAGAGGGATATACAGAGAGAGATAGAGAAAGAGCGATGAGACAGAAAGAGCGATGAGACTTGAGAGGTGAAACTGAGCCGGGGGTTTTATATTATTTGTATGAGAGAGAGAGAGAGAGAGCAGAAGATAGAGTTTGGAGAGAGAACGAGGAAAAGCAGTTTTTGAGAAGCTCTCAAACCGCTTTTGCTTTTGCTTTTCCATTGACTTTAAAAAATGTCAAAGGGGGGGCTTGTAAATTCCAAGCGAAAGGACAACCCCTCGAAGGCTTGGAAAAAGTCCACACGCTCTAATTTCGTTGTCACTTGTGAGTTGTGAGTTGTGACCGGACCCCCTCGTCGGTCGAGTTGTTTGGGGAGAGTCGAGTCAGACTACTCGTGAATTATCAGCCCCAAAAGTCCAAAAAGGGAGAGAGAAAGAATAAAATAATCCGGTAAGGGTTCCGTCTTCATGGACGTGAAGAACGTCGTTATCCCAAAATAAGAGCGCGTGAGAACGGGGATGAGCGTGGGCGGGGGAGGGGGGGTTGAGAGGGCTGAGGGCTGAGGGGACCATCGAACCATGACGAGGCAATGACGGCTTGTTTTAAAAGACAAAGGCGGAAGAAGTTATTGTCTTATTGGTGTTAGGCGCAGTCCACCGTGGCCCGTGGGCACGGGACGGCGACAGATGGTCGGCCGATTGGACTCCCATACTCCAACGGCAGCAGATGGCCGATAATGGCAAATGAGGTCTCGCCTGAAACTGGAATAGAGGAGATGAGAGGAGAGCTAAAAGCCTAGATAAGAGACCGCTACTACAGACTACAGTGTCATACTACTACGACTACTATTACTAGTTTACTACCATCAAATACGATCAACGGAGCAGCTCAGCCGCATCAGCAGCGGCTGGTGGTGGGGCCCACCATTTTGTCGTAAAGAAGAAATTAAAAAATATATATTATTATATTATTATATGAAAAAAAGGCTTTTCCTGACCCGGCCCTGGTTGCCCCGAATCTCCGCTTACTTTTCGCATGCATTGCGATTTAATGCAAAGCAAAAGGCTTTTGGTGCTGTGCTGTGATTCCCCAGTACGGTGTCGGAGGATCCTGAACCGTTGAACAAAAGAATTGGTCAAACATTATTTTATCAGGAAAATCTGCCTTCTCTGCTACCGACGGTACCTGATTTTGCGTATCACGGACTCACGGTGTGGAGATGGCCTCCCCCACTCGTTTAACCGTCTGTGGCGTGGGGTCCTCTCTATAAAAGTAGGACGATCGGATATTCTCCATTTCTTCCCGGCCGTGTTGGATCGTGTTTTGAATTTCTGGTTTTGATCTGGGGCCCGAAATGCCCCACAAAGAGGATCTGGATCTCGGCTCTCAACTCTCTCACCGTGAAAGTGAACGATCAATCTGACACAAATAGTTCGACTGACACATTGGATTTGGACCGGTATCAGATCTAATATAAATAAAAAGGGTTCTATACCTTATTAAATATAAAAATCCTTATAAAGTCCGAAATGCTGCACAAATCATATGATAGCAAAAGTCATTCATCTACCATTAATGATCCTGTGTAATCTCTCTCCTATGTGGGCCCACCCTTCCTCGATCAGAGAGAGAGACCCAATTCCTCAATCGTTTGGTTCGGTGGGATTAACCAGAGATCGTTTCGTCCAAGAAACAAAAAGAAAAGCAAAAGAAGAAGAAGAAGAAGAGGTGAAGGAAGGGGGTGGACCACCAACCACTACTGCAGATCGTTTCTCATTCCATAGCCTACAAAGTGTAGACATGTTGATTGAGGGCTGAAACAGTCTTTTGGTGGGGAGTTTGGCGTGGAAACTCCAAGGCGTAGTTCAAATCTCCTGGTTGGTCAGTCAAATATTTACACTCCACGCTTTTCCATTTTGATCTTTGATCATATCTGCTCTTTTCCAGTTAAAATTGATGTATGGATATAACCTGTGTTTTAGGCTCAGTTTGGAAAGAGTATAAAACTATAAATACAAATATGCATAGTACAAATGTAAAATAATACAAAACACAGGCTTTTGCATCCTACATATTTGTATTTATATTCTTTCCAAACTGAGCATTAAATTTTAACCAATGTTTTAAAAAATAATTTGGATTGGAATCGTTTTAGTTATTGTTTTTGGATTAATAGTTTAAATGGATAGTCCGTTTTAATAAAAAATAAAAAACGGCCAAAATCATTGAATAAATCGAACGGATCAACGGATTATTGACCGATTCAATAATTTTTTTACCAGAGATCAGGTTTGGAATAAAATAGAATCAGTTGTCTGAATAATTTCCGGGCCGAACAGTCCAACCATCTTGGTCAACTGAGGTTTGAAAACTATGATTTTAACACATGGGTTAACTTAGACATGAACCGATGGGAAGATGAGTGCACAAGGCATGTCGTATTGGTTCTAGTGGCTATTGTGCTTATGACATCATCATCAACACAAATATTGTTTATTATCTTCTCTTTGATTCTTCTTTTCCTTCAGCTTCGTATAAACTCAATGTTGTTTGATAATGGGTAAATGGCTGAACTGAATGACTTATCAATTGTCTATTGTCTATGATCAAATAATTAAATAACAATTCAAGGATAGTGTATTCTTTACTAACTTATTCACTGTTCAATAAATCATTCAACTCAACCACTTCTATCAAATTGTTCGAGAGAGAGATAACAAGTTTAGGTTTATAGGAGATGAGTGTGGACCCCCTACTGCAAATCTCGGCCAATCAAAGTTTTGCACCCTATTTTGTCAGAGGCTTCAGCAGCAAATCGACCCATCACATTATTCCAACAGCAAAAGGTTTAACAAACAACCAATGGTTACAACAAGAAAACTTTGGCTGTTCATGTTAAGACAGCCCGTGGGCCAGGTCGGGCCATGTATCAGGCCAAAGCTATTTATTTAAAAAAAGTTGACAAAAAACTTAAAATTTTAATTTTATATGAATTTTGTGTATAAATTATTTATATATGCAATAATTAAATAAATTAATATAATAAAATTAAAAAATATTTATTTTATTAATATATTATATACTATATATTATTATATAATTATAATATATATAAAATAAATATAAATATATAAAATATATGGGTCGTGCCAAGCTGTGCTGGGCCGGGCTGCGGGCTGGGCTGAGCTGTGTCGTACTGGCCTGTGGACCTAAAATCCCAGGCCCAGTACGGCCCCCCGCATGGTCGTGCTGGGCCTGGCACGACCCGCAGACCGTCGTTCCAGGCCGCGGGTGGCACGGCCCAATTTACACCTCTAGCTCTCTTTATGACAAATTAGTCCATAAAGCCAGCACTGTTACTGTTGCATGGAATTTATAGAGAAAACCTTGGCTGCTTGAAAAAAAAGTCTGGCCTGTTTCAAAGCTTCTTGCAGATGGCACATTACCCCATTTAGTTCTTCATGCACATGAAGCTTCAAAACAGCCCAGGCTGTTCGTTACAAACAGCCAAGCCTTTCCCAAACTTTTTTGGTAGAATGAAAGACGAATGGACTACACATAATGGGCGTAGCCCTTCCCCAAGCATCACAAAAACAAATCTAATGGAACTGCCACTTCAAGAGAGTTCGAATCGAAAACTTAAACAAGCTTTGCAAAGGTTTCCCTACCTTCCCCTTCCTTTTCCTTCAAACCAAACACAGCCTAAGTTTCCTTGATGATGATACTTCTGCTCTTGAACTTTGAGGCAAAAATATGGGCTTCATATACCACCCACACATTCTCCATGTTGATCAAACACAAATTCACATCCTTACTAACAACCAAAAGCACCTTAGTGTCACCACCTCTTGCAATCACCCCAACATGTAATCACATTGGTTCCCACAGACAGAGCACGCCCACAGTACACCCCAACCATGCATTGGGAACATCTCTCCATGACAAGTAGAGAAGATGTTCCCAATGCATGCTGAGATGTACTATGGAGCACGTGGGATGTGCTCGGTGGGGAGTCAATCCAGTCTCCAACAACACACCTCTCATCCTTTTTTGATGCATCAAAGTTCATTTTGATCTCACCTTCACATGTTCATTTGACAAAAAAGGATTTGTCTATAGAAGGAAATGCATAAAAGAAATAAACTCCAAGAAATTTGATCTAGCTCCTTCAATTACTAGAGAAAGGGGCATACCAGAATTATTAAATATCTTATTATTCCTATTTTTCCAAACTTGCCACAAGACCATACCCACATTTTCAAGTAAGAATTTATTATCCTAATTTAATACTCGCACATTATCCTGAGGTTTTGGGATGTATAGATCCAAAGTTAACCAGACTTGTTCAGCTATAATTAATTAACTTTTAACTCAAGATATGAGAGGGTTTGTCCTTGTCCACACTTAAAGTCCAATAAGCTTTTGCATGAGAGGACATATTAGAGAATAAAAATCTATTCAAGGACCTCACGCAATAGCTTAAGCTTTTAGGTTGAACAGATCCTTGTTATTCCTACCTAAATATTTCTCAGAAATTAACATTCTTCCCATTACCATTTCTCCATGCAATCCCTTTCTTTAACAACTCTAGTTGGTGTAAAATACCTCGGAAAGCCTCAAAGGTATTAATTGTGGGTGTTTGGCATGGATGCCATTTTCTGAGAAAACAACACCATGTAGGTGCCACATTAGAGAAAGACAAACAACGCCCTTTTGTTTAGTATTGCTTTTATAGAAAAATGTTACTCCAAATCACACCTTGGAAATCAGGAAAGTATGGTCTAGAACAATGCCAAATTCAATGTTTTCTGAAAAAATGACGCATTGGTGCCAATGGTGCAATGATGTAACATCATCCTAGACATTAAATAATATACTTGATTTTCAACACTGATGCCAAACAATGTTTTCTGATGCCAAATTCAATGTTTTCTGAAAATACAACGCGTTGGATGATGTATACAAGCATCGTCTTGAGAAAACAATGCTTACAACTCCACATGACTAACACCATTTTTATGAGTAAATGGTACAATATTTCCAACACCTATTTAAGAGAGTATTGGTCAATGGGTCATGCTTGTACAGAGTTGCTTAAAGAATATGTACTTCATAGATACCGTTGCTATCACAAAAGAAATGCGATCTGAAAGCATCTCACCCGCACCTAAAATTCCCTCTTTTTTATCCATCCATCCATCCCAATCTACAGATATCTTCGTTGAGAGAGAGAGAGAGAGAGGGGTCACCCCCACTTCATAGTGGAATGTGGGGGAGTAGAGGTGGAAGTGGTACCACGCTAAAAGGATAGAAAGAATGGGAACAGGCATCCTCCCACACTAGCACTAGCGCTATCACCGTCGCCACCACCCCAGTAGCACCACCACCACAACTACGTGTCTCAATCATTTGTCATTTGTAAGTTGATGAATCAGGAACGAACCCTTCCAATTCCAAACATTTACAACCCTCATTTGTGGCCTTATCCATTATCGAGGCTTTTAAAGATAAATATGAACGGAAAGTAACCGTCACATGGGCCATAGTCCCATTAAAGAAAAGTTTCCACGTGGCAAAAAAACATTAAACGGAAGAAGCAACAGAAAGATCTAAAAAGTAAAAAAGGCCAAAAAGTAAACCTGATTAGACGGCAAAATTCTTGCGTGCACCATTATCATAATATCATCACCTCCTTTTATCGCCTGTCAACTGTCAAAGTAATAAAGAAAGAAGGGATAGTTAATTAAACTCCTCTTCTGAAGTATGAAGTCTGAAACTCTGAACTACCAGATATTTTTTCTGCTTTGCGCCTTTATCGGGAATCAACAATGTACCTAATGACGGACTAGCCCAACCGGTACGCCACATCGGCCTGATACACGGGGCCCATAACCCATTTGCAATCATTCCCAGCACAGTTCCATAATTTGTTATTAATAATTTTTTTATCTTTTTGGTAAGATAAATTACATGCCCCCATGAAGAAAATCAGCTCGAAGAAAACGACCTTCGCCGTCTCGTAATCAGATATTACCTCTTCTGAACAGTGATCGGATCAGGACACAGATTAATAGATGCCTCCGCTGCACATCTCGGATGCTGACACGTCTTTGCCGCGTTGAAACGGTGCAATTTACCGAGTCGAATTATCTCCCGCCTACAGAAGAATCGGATTTTCAAACTTTGTGCAGTACATCAACTGTTCCCAGCACGTACCCATCGGGCAGATCCTGTTTTAGCCATGCTGGAGTAGTAATCACCAACATTTGCCACAAAAAGGGGATCCCTATCTTCATTGCAGTGCTCGGTGCTACTGGTACTATTGCTTCTCTGATTGGTCTGTTCCAATTCCCTTGTCAGATCCTCCATTGTCTTCTTTAAACTGGCTCTGCTCATCTGCCCTCCCTCCCCTGTTGAGATTCCAACCATCGTGATCTTCGGGAGAAGAGGACTCAGTGGCGGTGGTTCTTGCTTAATGCATTCTTGGCTCAAACCCTCCCTTCTGTGAACAAAGAACAAAAAGGTTAGATTGAAAATCAAGTATCATCTACTCGTAAAATCAAGAAAGGACATTTATTGGGTGGTAGTACCTTGTGTCTGATTCCTTCTGGCTTTTTGGTTTTTGCTGTTTTCTCGACCATGGGTTTTGGAACCAATCTGCAAAAGGAAAGCGAAAATCTGTATGATCTGTTGTTCTCTGGCCTTGAACCGCTTGGTTTCTCTCTAATTTCAGGGAACTCCCAGGTTGCCATTCAAGTCCATCGTTCTCACATCCTCCCTTTGCATCGGAAACAGAATTAGCAGACTCCGCGGCCTTCAGAAAAGAAGCTGCACTCCTGCAGTCATCCCTCTTCCTCATGAATATCATAAACAAAATGGACACAAAACATATACAAGCCACATTGCAAGTTCTTTTTTCATCAAAAATTTCCTATATTTTGTTTATCAATGAAGCCACAATGCAAATTCAACATTTAAGTATCATGAATTTAGAACCACCTCCCCCTAGTTGAAATGAAAATAACTCCTCTACTCTGACAGTCATCCACCACACCAGATATACATCTTACTGTTTTCAGTGCTTTGTACAATTAGAGGTTATTTATAGTGAATGGTAAAACCTCGGGCTGGCAAGCATGACAACGTGTGTTTGAGTCTGTAAACGGCCACTTTGTGCAAAAAGTGCTAAGGGTTAGGACCATATCCAGTCTACTCCCAAGATCGCTGGGACCAACCAACATTGGGTAAGCCTTTTTTTCCCTTTGTAGTGAAATTAGGCCACTATTACATTAATGGCATTCAGCTCATTTTTACAGTATTTCTGAGCATATCAGTTCAATAGAACATAAGTTGCAGTGAAGACACAGAATAGTCTCTGCAAAACGACAGAAGACTACGACATAAAATATCAAATCGATTATTTCCTGGCAACAAAATTGCTAGATTATGGAACCATAATACTAGTCACATATCACGAATGAGAGAAGTAGAAGTCCAATGTCGAATTATAGTTTTGATCAATTAACAATGAAAGCTATAATAGTAGAGATGATAACAAATTGTGTCATTGATAAATGATCCAAGAGGCACCATAACGGAGAAAATAGAAGCCAACTAAACTATCTAAATGGTTGTTCTCAACTTCTCAAACGCCAAATAATTGATATGAAAATTACAACCAAGGACATGGGGATACTGTTATAGGACCAAGTCCTAAAAGAACATGAAGAACAATGGCAAATTGGAGTTGGTTTGCTAGTGATTAAAACATGTCACAGTTGAATTGACTTGCAATGTGGCTTGCAGGTAAAGTTTCTGGCAGGTTGTAGCCAAGACCTGGGATCAAATCTCATGATTTCAAAGAATCAATTCTGATAAACTTTGTGATGCTAAAAGTCATTTTGAGTTTCGAAATTTGATGAGAAAAATTGTTGGACCTAATTCCTTTTTTGGGCCTAAAAACTCATTCTAAGAAATTTTCTTTGGAGCTAATTAGCTTCAGAAGAGAACCATTTTTGGCTCAAAACTCATTCTTCAAATAGTGATTCTTTAGAACAAAATTTTAACCTTACATGTCTGAGACAGGGACCAAATGGTAGACTGTTAGCACACGAGATGGTCAATTGCCCTCTCAAATCACACAGTTAAAGAAGCAGAAGCTTACCTTTCCTCAAAAGAATCGACCATATAAGGAAACTTTGGCTGAATCCCAGTAGCTTTCCTTAACCACCTATTTCCCAAGAGTACTTTGTCAACAGTGTGAAGGAGCTGCATTTCAGCAGCCTTTGAAATAACACTCAAAGGTATTCCAGGATGACCCATCTCATCCAGTACTTCTTGAACCTATTAGGAAATTATTACATACCAGTTAGCAACACAGCAGCCTAGGTTTCCAAGATATGGAGGTTGAATGAAGCAATATCATGCTCCCCTAGGCTCTCTCATTCTCTTCAATCTTTTTCAAATAATAACATGTTCAATCTTTTCCAACCAATAAAATCTGAAAACACGTGTATTTGTACCTCTGGAGGCTCCCATAGGCTCTCTCCACTCTCTTCAACCACTTCTGCCAGATTGTCATCAATAACATCTCGTCTCCGCTGCATGTGTCGGTTCTGAATTAACGTGTGGAAATGCTGGTCAACAGATTCTTCAAGAATGTTATCTAGGACGCTTTTATCAAAGAAATATGGTGTATACCTATCAGAAGAAACAGGAAATTCACTAAGACTCAAATGTTCTCAAATTTGAAGCATTAAACTCCCATCATGTCCAAGGTAGGCTCTTTTTGGCTAAGTGCTCACCTTATAGAAGCATAAGGATGAGAGACAATAATTTGAAGAGAAAACTAGGAAAGAAATCAAAATGCATGTGGTTGTAGGCAAGCATCCTTCTGAGTGTTAGTGCACAATACAAGCAAGGAGCTAAAAAAATCAAAATTCCAACAAGAGAATGAGTGACAGTTGAAAATTATTGAATACCACTGATCATCCTCTAAGCCTTTCCCTACTATATGGGGTTGGCCATATGAATCCTATTTCACCAGTCTGTTATGTTTAATGCCATATCCATTGTTAAATTATAAGCACTTAAATCATTTCTTACTAATTCACCAGCCTGTTCTGTTTAATGCCATATCCATTGTTCATTTATGAGCATTTAAGTGATTTCTTACTATCAGAAGAAACAGGAAATTCACTAAGACTGAAATATTCTCAAATTTGAAGCATTAAGCCCCCATCATGTCCAAGGTAGGCTCTTTTTGGCCAAGTGCTCACCTTATAGAAGCATAAGGATGAAAGAGACAAGAGACAATAATTTGAAGAGAGAAAACTAGGAAAGAAATCAAAATGCATGTGGTTGTAGGCAAGCATCCTTCTGAGTGTTACTGCACAATACAAGCGAGGAGCTAAAAGAAATCAAAGTTCCAACAAGAGGATGAGAGACAGTTGAAAATTATTGAATACCTCTACTCATCCTCTAAGCCTTTCCCAACTATATGGGGCTGGCCATATTTTCATCAGTCTGTTCTGTCTAATCAATGTCATATCCATTGTTAAATTATGAGCACTTCAATCATTTCTTACTAATTCAATCCATGTCCCCCCTCCCTTTTTTTGAGAGAAAATGTAAAGCATTGTATTACTCAAAAACCCACAGAAAGCCAAATCTGCACAACAAGGGGCTATTCAATGCCTATGTCATTTCTATACATTTTCTATTCTGTGTGCATAGATACAAAAAGAGAACCAAGTTCAAAAAAAAATTTACATTTATTTTCAAATAGTCACTTGTTTCTTTCCAACCATATCATCCAAACCACTGTTGTAGGTCCTGCTCCCCATACAACCCTTACTTCTTTTGATAGACCATTCAACTGCCAACATCATAATAAGGCAACTGGATTATTTGAAAAAGAAAATTGTACATAAACAGCCACATAAACTTTGACCATAAGCTCCTTGCAACTCTACAAATGATCTGAATCTTCTGTAGTTTCCCCACACATTAGCCCTAGCCCTTCTAGCCCCTTCAGCTTGAAACAGACAGCTTCTCCTCATGGGTGCCATAGATGGTCTTCTATACATGTGACAAAACCATCTTAGTCTACTTTCTCTCATTTCATCACCTATTGGAGTTATTCATAGGTTCCTCCAAATGATTTCATTTGTTTCTTGACTGTGCAACACTTTGCTCCATACAATTGTTTTAGAATGTTCCTTTTAACCCAAGTAGTATTCACCTATCACACAAAACCCCAGATGCACCTGTCTATTTTGCCCATCATATTTTAATTCTATAAGCAACATCCTCCTCAATCTCTCCCTTGTTATTGAATACCACCAATGAAAGCCAAAACATGACCTTTTTAAGGCATCACAAGATCAAATGTATACTTTGGCTTCATCTTGAAATGGATTGGGTAATGTCTGGAATGAGAATCAATATGCATAAGAGTGAATTAATGGCTCTCGGTGATGGGTGTAATATGAATCATCTGGTGGAGATACTTGGTTGTAAGTTCAGGAAGCTCCCTATTAAGTATCTTGGGCTTACTCATGGGGAAAAGTGCATCTCTAGATCTGTTTGGGAGCCTGATGGGTTACTGCCCATCTCAGCAGCTGCTTCGAGGGCAGCTCTGCCTCCTAAGAAAGAGAAGAGAGAGGTCTTGGGTTCAAATCTTGTTAACAACATTTGTTCTCTGAAAAAGAAAGAAATAAAGGTCTTATTGAAGTAATAATGGTTAGGGTGGTGCAATGGTTAAAATCTTTGGACATGTTTGATGAGATCTCTTTGGGGATGTTGCTGAATAGCTGGGTGGAGGTAGCAAACTCTGCTCCTGTTCATTCTGTTGTGTGTCCTGTGTGGTCTCCACCAGATCTTGGGTTTGTAAGGTTAAATTTTGATGGGAGCAGCGAGAGCAATCCGGGTCCTTCAGGTGTAGGGGGGGTTTTCAGAGATGAGAATGGGAAGGTGATTGCAATGTATTCAGGTCCTGTTGGGAAGGGGGACTCTCTTTGAGTTGAGGTTCATGCTGTACTGGAGGGTATAAGGAGGGTAAAGGATCTGAATATACAAAAGCTTGTTGTTGAAGGTGATTCTAAGCTGCTTATAGAAGGATAGTGGACTGTGGAAATTTGGTAATGAGAGGAGAGGAGTTAAATGGCTAACTAGGGGGCTGGAAATCCAGTTTCAATGGGTGAAGAGAACAGCAAATGCATTTGCAGACACTTTGGCAAAGCAAGGGGTGGGAAGGGATCAAATATTTTGGGCTGTATTGTAATTTTTATTCTGTTCTCTGGGGGAGAGTTTGTCTTTTTACCTCTCTCTACAGTGCTGTAATTATTTCTCTAATTAATTAATATAAATTGTTATTGATCAAAAATAAAATAAAGAGAAGAAGAGAGATAATTCTGAGAAAATGATGCACAATCCACTTCTTTCTATGATTCTAATATTTACAATCATTAGCTCACGTCACACTTGGGTTGCTATAACAGACTACTGGTGTGGCTTTCTCACATAAGCAATCTGACAGGTTATCCAGGCTTGCCGTTAGAGGGAGCTCTCTCAGCTGCTGCTCGAGCTGGGCTGGTTCTAGCTGTTGGAGTCTGGGTGGGCTGATGTCGTTCTCCCCAGGTCTAAACAATTCCTCCCCCCTGGAGATCAACCTTGTCCTCAAGGTTGGAGTGAGGAAACTGCTGTTTGAGGCTGTCAAAAATTTCCCAGGTGGCATCTTCTGCTGGGAGTTGATCCCAAACTACCAGAGTTTCTTGGACCACCTTTTTGCCATTCTTAAACCAGCAGAAATCCAAGATCTTGAAAGGATGAATTATCAGTTCTCCTTCATCGGTGAAGGCGGGTAGCGAGGACTGAGTGATGGCTCCTTCCCCCAGATGTTTTTTCAGCAAGGAGACATGGAATATGGGATGAAGCCGCACAGTGGCTGGGAGGTCAAGTCGATAAGCGACTTCTCCAATCCTTTCTAAGATGCAAAAGGGCTCAAAGAATCGAGGTGAAGACTTCTGCCATGCTATTTGGGCTACTGATGTCTGTCTGTAAGGCTGTAGTTTGATATACACTAGATCCCCCACCTGATAAGAGATGTCATGATGATTTTTGTCATGCTGGGTCTTCATAGCCTGTATTGCTCTTTCCAAATGGTGCTTGAGGGATTGAATGATAGCATCCCTAGCGAGTAGTTGGTCCTCTACCTCAGCTACCTGAGACCCCTTCTCATAGGGTAAGGCTGGCGGTTCCCTCTCATAGAGAGCCTTGAAGGGAGTCATTCCTGTGGAGATATGGTAAGTGGTGTTATACCAGTACTCAGCCCACGGCAGCCACTTGACCCACTGCTTTGGCTTTTCTCCTGTTAAACACCTCAAATAAGTCTCCAAACACCAATTCACCACTTCTGACTGTCCATCGGTTTGGGGATGGTAGCTGATGTTGTGGTGTAGGAGAAACCCCTGAACCCAGAAATATTCAGACCAGAATCTGCTCATAAAGGCAGGGCCCCTGTCAGTAGTAATAGACCTTGGCGTGCCATGGAGCTTGGCTACGTCTTGGACAAACACCTTGGCAACCTGGGCTGCTGTATAAGGATGTGCCAATGCTGAAAAGTAGCTGTATTTGGAAAGCCGGTCTACCACCACTAAAATTACTGTCTTTCCAAATGATGGGGGTAGGCCGGTAATGAAGTCCATAGTTTATATCATCCCACACTTGATTTGGTATAGGCAAGGGTTGGAGACGGCTGGAGCTTGGGTTTCATACTTGTAACGCTGGAAAATGGGGCATTTGGCTACAAACTCCTGAACTATCTTCCTCATTCTGGTCCAGATGTAGTGTGAACCAATTCTTCTATAAGATCTTAGGATACCTGAATGTCCACCCGTGGCTGACTCATGGAAGACTCGTACGAGGTCCTGTAACAAGGGAGATTGGGCTGGTAGCACCATTTTGCTCTTATAGAAGAGCTTTGAATTGATGACTGTATAACCTGGAACCTTGAGGGGATCTGAAACCCACTGGGCCCGAATCTGTTGTAGGTGAGGGTCTATTTGGGCTGCAGCCTTCAATTGTTCCAAGAGAGGGTAAACCAGCCTGGAAATGCCTAGGGAGCTCAATTCATGGGCCCTAGACAGGGCATCAATGGCCTTATTAGATGGCCCAGGTTTGTAGTCCAGCCTGTAATGGAAGCCTAACAACTTATATAACCTCTGTTGTTCAGGAGTGTGAATCTGCTGCTCCAACAGGTATTTTAAGCTGCATTGATCTGTCCTTATCACAAACTGCCACCCTAGTAAATAGGTTCTCTATTTTTGAACAGAAAGAACCACAGCCATAAGCTCTTTTTCATAGGTGGACTTTGATAATGCTAGGCCTGACAATGCCTTGCTAAAGAAGGTTATGGGCTTACCTTGTTGCATCAGCACAGCCCCAATTCCAGATCCACTTGCATTGCATTTGATTATAAATTCCTGAGAAAAATCTGGGAGGGTGAGAGTGGGAGGCAACAAGACTGCCTTCTTAAGTGCCTCGAAGGCAGATTCAGCTTTGATCACATCCCAAGTGTATGCGTTCTTTTTCAACAGCCATGTAAGTGGGCCAGCTAGGAGCCCATAATTGCGGATGAAGCACTGGTAATAGCCTGTCAGTCCAAGGAATCCCCTAAGGCTGCAAACTGATGAGGGTCTAGGCCAATTTATCATGATAGTCACCTTATCTGGGTCGGTTGTGACCGTGCCCTGAGACACTATATGGCCAAGGTATTGCACCTGATTCTGGCCAAATATGCATTTAGAGGATTTGGCAAATAATCAGTGCTTCCTAAGAAGTCCCAGAGTGGTGTCTAAGTGCTCAAGATGGCTGGTCCAATCAGAGCTATATATCAAGATATCATCAAAGAAAACCAATGCAAACCAACGCAAAAATGGACGGAAGATGTCATTCATAACCGACTTAAATGTGGAAGGGGCATTGATCAGCCCGAAGGGCATGATCAAAAATTCATAATGTCCGTTGTGGGTCTAGAAGGCTGTTTTATGAATGTCAGCTGGGTGGACCCAAATCTGATGGTAGCCCGACCTTAGGTCCAGTTTTGAGAATATAATAGCCATCCTGAGCTCATCAAGTACTTTTCTATAGTAGGAATCGGAAACCGATCCTTGACAGTGATCTGGTTAAGGGCACGATAATCCACACAAAACCTCCATGTCCTGTCCTTGACAAGGAGAGCTGGGGACGAGTAGGGACTCGAACTAGGTTGAATCAGCCCCTGTTGTAAAAGTTCATTCACTATTTTCTCTATCTCCATTTTCTAGTAGTGTGGATATATGTAGGGGTGCACATTCATGGGCCCCTCTCCAGGTTGTATGGGAATTCAGTGATCTTGGACCCTAGGGGTTGGAAGACCCACAGGATTAGAAAACACATCTTCATAGGCCTTCAGAAGCTGTTGCAGGGCCTGCTCCTGTTCTGGTGAGGGCTGTAAGGCCTCCTTAGTTGTTAGCACCAGCCCACTGAGGTTAGGACCCAACATCATTACAAGGGGGGTTCCATGAGCTGGCACTATTTGGCTACGGAGTTATAATCAGCCGACCTGGGTTGTTTAGGCTCCAAACCCTTAAGAGTACACGGTTTTCCATCAACAGTAAACTCCATAGTAAGGTTTTCCCAGTCACATACCACCCGTCCCAATTGGCGTAACTATTGGACACCAAGGACCACATCGGCCCCTCTAAAGTTTAACGGATGCAAATCAATTCTGAACCGGTGCCCCTGAACCAAGAGATCTATGGCTCGACATACCTTGTCACATTTGAGCTAGTTTCCATCAACTACATGGACTGAGAAGAATTCGACCAGTTCAACCGGTAAGCCCAACTGGCGAGCCAGCAACCCTGTAATGAAGTTAAGGGTGTTGCCGCTATCGATTAGGATAGAAACTTGACGCCCCTTGACTGTCCCCTTAACTCTCATAGTTCTGGGAGAATCCAGGCCAATCAGGGCCTCTAAGGAAATTCCAGTTCGTCTGTATCAGCCTCAACTTTTTGTTATCAGTAACGACAGAATTTATTAAGAATAAGAAACTTTAATTACAAGAGAGTGGGAGGTAAACTTTCTTAACTCCCCCACTTTAGCAAAACAAAATATACAAGATTAGAAATGAGCCCAAAAGAAGATCCCCTATTCACCCCTTGCTTGGCTAACCCATCAGCAAGTGAGTTAGCAGTTCTCTTTACCCAACTGTATTTCACCTCAATGTTCCTAGTCAGCCACTTAAATTTTTTTCTTTTCATTGCTGTAGTTCCAGATATCAGAGTTATCTTCCTTTAGCCATCTCACCACCACCTCTGAGTCACCTTCAAAAACCACTTTTCTTAGGTTCAGCTCCCTTGCTCTTTGGGCACTTTCCAGAGCCACAAGGATCTCATCCCTAAGAGAGTCTCCTCCAATAGGGCCTGAGAACGTGGCTATAATAAGCCCCTCTTCGTTCCTGAACACTCCCCCTATACCAGAGAGCCCTGGGTTCCTTAAACTACTTCCATCAAAATTCAGCTTCATGAATCCAGGTGGGGAAGAGGTACAAGAGGGAGAAGAAACTGTATTAACCTAGGCAGAATTAGCTATCTCTAACCAATTCCTCATCAAGTCATCCAAGGAAAAAACTGTGAATAGGTTCAGAGATTTCAGACAGTGAGCTACCCTTAAATGTATCAACTCCATTACATTCTCAGTGGTTCTTTCCTTTTCTGAGAAAGTGCATGAGTTTCTTTCTTCCTAGATAGACCAGCAGACTGCAGCCCTAATACATCTCCACATAATTCTCCCTCCTTTTAAAGGCCAACTAAAGTAAGGAGGAGAGAAGAGGCTTTGCACATCCAAGGGAGGGGGTCCAGCTGCACCCAAAAAGGAAGAAAACCCATTCCCAAATAGTTCTAGCAAATAGGCAAGAAATCAATAGGTGGTAACCAGTTTCCTCTTCAACTTTGCAAAGAATACACCTATGTGGGGATAGATAAGAATTGGGTCTCTTTCTTTGAAGTAGGTCACTTGTGTTAATTCTTTCCAGTAATGCTTCCCAACAAAAACTACCAACCCAAGGAGGAATAGGCTTGCTCCAAACCTCTTTAACAGGGAAAGGCAGACCACTAGAGGCAGAAGGCTGAGATAAGGTTTCAAAGAAGGAAGCACAAGAGAAAGTACCAAAGGAGGATGGGGTCCAAATTCTGGTATCTTCCTTAGAGGGATCCAAGAAAACATTCTCAAGAATGGTTAACAAGTTCGAAGTACTCCCAAGGTCTGTGTCCCTAACGGCCCTTCTCAGGCCCAGGTTCCACCCAAACCCAGAAGAGGAGTCTGAAGGCACAAGAAAGAAGAGAAACCGGTCCATCAAATGGGAATCCCCAACCCAAGTTATCTACCAAAACTTTATAAGATTGCCAGAATTCAAATCATACCTAATCATAGGGAGAAGACTAGAAGAAGATCACGGATGGTTTTCCAAGGAGAAGCACCTGTAGTCCTTACTAGAATTCCAGGATCCCAACCATTGTCCTCTAGCCCATGAATGCTAGCCACTATCTTTGTCCACAATTTTTCCCTTTCCAATGGAAACCTCCACAACCACTTTCCCAATAAAGCCATATTTCTTTTCCTGATATTCCCAATCCCAAGACCACCTAGCTTCTTAATCTAGTTACCACCTCCCACCCACCCTATGGTCCCTCTTATCCTCTCCTGGTTCCCACAAAAAATCTCTCATTAGCTTCTCCAATTTATTAGAGACTTTTGTGGGAATCTTAAACACTGACAAGAAATACACCAGTAGGTTAGCTAGGGCAGACCTAATCAAAGTGATTCTCCCCCCTAATGAGAGATAATTTCTCCTCCAAGAAGCAAGTCTTTTCTCAAATCTTTCCACCACCTGGTTCCAAAAGCTTTCATTCTTGGGATTATCTCCTAAGGGGACTCGTCTTCCTCAAGAGTTCCATCAGATCGGAGGAGGAAGAGTTGTTGGCTCTTGCAGCAGTGGCCAGGAGTGAACTTTTCATCGCAATTATAACATAGACCACGCTCCCTACATGATTGTATCTTCGATCAAGTCAATTTTCATAGGGGAACTATTGGACCAACAGGTTTTGGGTTCCCCGGATCCGACCAATGGGGTGAGGTCTTTAAAAGTGGGCCAGGATATTTGTTTATCTTCTTAAACCGATTCTGGCATTCTTCATGAAGTCTAGCCAGCCTTATGACGGCATCAACAGTAGCAGGGTGAAGGGCCTTCACCTCTATCTTAATGTCTTCATGGAGGCCCCCTACAAAACTTTCGACTAGAGCATTTTCAGGTCATCCATAAACTCTGGCTTCCAAGCACTCGAACTCTTGCTGATAGCCACGCACAAAGCCAAGCTGCCTGAGTTTAGAGAGTTTCATCCAGTTTTCGTAGCCAGAAGGTCCAAACCTCCGGACCGGATGGTCAGACCAGAAAATCCGGGAACCAGTCAGTTGACCGGTTCCGTTTTTCCCCAAAACCGGATTTTTCCCAAAAACTGTTGATTTTGGTCAGCAAACTGCTGACCCAGGCAGTTAACCGTTCAAACGGTTTTGACCGTTTTTTATTATTTTTAAATTTTTTATTTTTTTGTCAGAATGGGCCGACCGTTCGGTTCGAAAGGTCGGACCGTTGACTAGGAATTGGACCCATGACCGGTTTGTTCTCCGGGTCGGTTTAAAAACCTTGGTGGAAGGAGATCTATACTATTTCCTTTTACTAAAATACCTTACCTTTAAAAAAACAGTTAAAATATGAGAGCCATGAAACTATGGCTACAGTGCTTCATGACAACATAATTTTAGGTTTTTTTCATTTGGATAAGAATTTCCTTTTTATTGTTACCAACTTTATTAATTATGAGAAAAGAATGATATATTATAAATGTGCAGAACACCCCAAAATATTTAGAATTGCCTGTCCCTTCCATTATATCTATTTCCTTCGTATTTCTAATTATGTCTCCTGGTTTGTGGTTCCCCAATACAACTGATTTGCTTTGCACCCTGTCTAGGTAAAAAACCACTAGACTATTTGCTGACCAGTGAATCCAGGAAAGTGAAGCTCCCAGCTCCCTAATTAGACTTTTACCTCCATTGAGTTCCTATGCTGCAACATTCCTACTTTAACATTATGAAGCCAACTTATAACCACTTTTGAGTCTCCTTCAACTAAGTATTTCTGAACCTTAGCCATTTCCCATTCTCAGTCCTTGCAAAACAGCTAATAGTTCTGCCCTGGTTGAATCTCCTTGGCCTGCTGATCCAGAATATATAGCCAATGTATGCCCTTGGTAATTCCTGAAAACTCCTCCACTCCGTGATCTACCTGGATTCCCATGCTACAATTGTCAAAGTTTGAGTTTTATTTGGGTTGAAAGTGGACGAGCTCACTATTCTAGACTTCTAGTCAATGCAGCAGAACCAAGCATTATCATTCAAGTACTATAAAATAAAGCATATACAGACATGAATAAGAGCAGATTAAGGAAGAAGGTTCTAACTGGTAGGGAGACATAACATTGAGAAAAAAAAACATTAAGACTGTAGAACATCATACCATTTAATTCCATCATTTGTGGCTATTGCAATGTCCAAGTTTTGTGCAGTGAAAACAGGAACACCTTCTACTTTTCTCCTTCCATTTCTCTGTGGGATTTTCTTAAGGAGTTTTTTGGCTGCCTTTACCTGCATGAGCAGCAGACAGTTAGAAAGAAATGACAGCATAAAACAAGAGGTAACTTCTACACATACCTGTTTTTCATTTGGAACAAATTGGAACATATGGGGTTTTTCCTGCATATCCAACATTAAAAGAATGTTGATGCTATAGCTAAGAAAAGGATCACAGATAGACGTAAATGAAACAAAGCATGGGAAAGAAAAGAATGCGAGTAAATGTGATAACCAAGGAATTGCAAAAGTGAAAACTAAGGCATCTATTGACAACAATTAATTTCTGTAAAACCACAATTAGAAATTGAAGGATGAATTTTATGCTGAAAGTGAAAAGTGTACTCTTTCTTTATTTCTTTCTTGCTTGCTTGCTTCTTCAAGGGATAAGCTTTAAGCCAAAAAAGAAAATTAATTCTGGTGATTTTCACTCAGTGATACATAGGACTATAGGATCACTAAAACCACTGGAAGCATGTCAACCACCACCTTAGGTGTCACTGTATGTATGATTCATTGTACTTGTGGTCGATTATCAAGAAAAGCAGGACAAAAGTAAAAGCTAGATTTTCTTTATCAGCAACAACTTGATTTTTATTAATAGGAGTAAAGAATGTATTATGTACAAGGTAGTACCTAACACCCCAGTACAGACCTAGTCCCTACTAGCCACCCTCTTACATTACAACACACCAGGATTTTCTTGCATGGTTGAACACCAATATATCTGATTTTTCTGTTCACTCCCTGTTTTGCTAGACCATCTGCCATCCTATTAGCATATCTTGGTATTATTTCAATTGTGTTCTCAGCTGAGCATCCAACATCTCTACTTCCTTCATAACATATCTATATTTCCATGTTCCCACTTTGCTCTAAGCCTCTAACAGAATATTGGTTTATTACTTTTAGGGCCTGTTCGTTTCCCCTTCACTCTAAAGTGGCATTGTACCACTTGCAGAGAGAGATTGTTTGGCATCCACTTTTTATTCAGCCTTATGTACTGGATGATATCATAAAATCTATTTTTACTTTCCAAAAATACCCCCATTTATATATCAAGGTCTAACCCATTCAACCTTAATAGTTGAACGTTGACCTGCAACCCAGAGGCAAAAATGGTTCAACCTCTGGATCGGATTTTAATTAATATTTAATTAACTAATAGAAAATTATTTAATTATTTACTAAATACTAAAATATTTAATTATTAATTGATTATCAATCATTACTATATTATTGATTATTTAATTTTAATAATTATTTTATAAAATAATCAATTTTAGTGAACATTAAAAATAAATATTTGATTAAAATTTATAAATAATTAAATAATGTTTTTAGTAAATATATATAACTAGAAGTTATTAACAAATAATAAAAATAAATAGGTAAAAATTGTTCATTATTAAATAATTAATAATATTTTTTTGATGAATGAAAATAATTAATAATAATTAATAGTTAATAAATAATAAATATTTATTGATTATTAACAAAATAATTGAATAATTATTTAATTATAATATATTATTTATAATAAAAATTATTAAATTTTAATAGTTAACTTTAAATAATAATTAATTTTATTAAGTAGGTAGTTTGTTTATGTTTAAAAAACCAATTTTATAAAATAATCAATTTTTTAAACATAAACAAACTCAACAACTCTGGTCCTACTTATGCAATGACTCTGAAATTTTAAATATAAACAAACTACAGCCTTACTTCCACGTTCTGTTTGGTTATGTTTATTTGATGATCTTTTATTTGTACCTAAAATTAGGATTGTATAATGTTTTGTTGCTTTTTTTGGTTGGGAATGAGTGAGAATTGTGATTTCATTGTTTTGGGTTCGGGGCAAGGCAGGCTACGTCCTCCCCTGTATTTCAATCTTATTATGAGTTTTCTTAATAAAATTTTTAGGTGGCCGCCCCTCCACCTGGAATAAAGTTTGGGGTTAAAAAAAACACATAAACAAACCATAAATAGACAAGTTAGCCCTATCATTGGACCCCACACAAAAAATGTAAAGTGGCAAAATATCCTCTGCATCCAAAAATACGGAAATAGATAAAATTTCACAAATTTCCAATTTTGACTCTTCAGCTCCTACATCAAAAGTCCTCCAACACACCTCTTAAAGTAATCATTACTGTTTCAGATGTCAAACGTTAGAGGAAACGAACAGGCCCTTAGAATCATGGAATCATGTAGTGATTTCTGGAAATCATGATAAAAGATTTTTAGTAAGCTCAGCCAATTTAGGCTAAAGGAAAACTAGCTTAGAGATATTAGGAAGCTTCTTGATTAAGTTGACTTATAGTAGGAAACTAATTTGCACTACGGTCAAGTTTTAGTAGGAATTGACTCATGCAATCTATAGAAAAGTATGTAGGTAAGGATGTCTGAAATTCTACTACTACAAATAAGCCAAGGTTGATCAATACAACATGCAGAGATTGTATGTTCTGCCTAAGCAGACCTATTTGGACCTAGGATCTGTGAATAAAACATATGCATATTCATGCCCAATATAGGGGGAATGGACAAATCTTATTTTGGAAAAAGCACTTGATGAATCAAACAGGATTAATAGACAATTTTCAACAGAAAAGTAATAATAAGCCTGACAGATCCATACCTTAAAATGTTCATATGCTAAATCAAGACGACAAGCACCCACAACGCCAGTTGGAATGTTCAGCCGTTTAACATATGAAACTAAAATAAAACAAAAGGTTATAATATAGAAAATGTCTTGCTGCAATTAAAAATAATATCATAAAACAAAAGCACTGTTGAAATCTGTTAGTTTCCTTATTTAATTAATTAATTCTTTGTTATTTTTCTGTTCTTTAATGCTGCAGGGGCATTCTTGTAATCTTACTTTCTTTTATTATTAGTTGGGACGCCCAAATATAAATACTAATGACTGGCACCGCCAGTCACAACTTTTTGATCCCAGAATTCTCTTCGTCTCTCTTCCTTTCTTCTCCATTTCTTTTCTGTTTCTCTGATATGTTCAGCCCAGAAAACATGGTATCAGAGCAGGTTTTCTGGGGTTAGAAGCAGTGTGACAAAGTCTTCTTAGTTTCTTCTTCCTCAATCTCTCAGTTCCACCTCTACTGTGGATCGAATCTGATTAGGGAGTGGATCGAATTGATCTGAAGGGCTTTCTTTTAGGTTCTCTTCCTTTCTTTCTTGGTTGTGTGCCAAGAAAACCCTAAAAGAAGGGAATTCTGATGCTGTGAAGGCAAGTCTTCTTAACCCTGTGGATCGTGTGATCCTTTCTTGTGCCCAGGTAAGTGGGTTTTAGAGGTCTGGATGACCTGCAACCACTGTTTTTTTTTCTGGAACTGTGGATCGGGTGATCCTATTTCTTGTACCCAGACAACTGGGTGGTGTAGATCTGAATGACCTGTGATTGTGTGACAGTGGTTTGCTAATGTCTCTTGGGGAATTATAGTGGCTGCGTGCTCAAGTAGTTGATGAAGGATTATATATAAGGGCTGCTTAGTTCCTGAATTGCCTCCTTATATGTGTGTGGTGTTCCTAAGATCTGTTTTTTGACTGAACTAAACTGGGCTTCCCGTGAAACTGTGAACTGAACTCGGCTGAACTGTGGCTGAATTGTGGCTGAACTGAACTGTCAAATCAGACCTTATATCATGTCATCTGAGGATTCTAGTGTGTCTAGTGGGCCTTCCAATCAAGGTGGAGTGAGTGGAGGATTTGATATGAGCTTCCCCATGGCTGTAATACCGTTTGATGATCTCAATTACCTAGAATGGTCAAGGGGAATTAAATTGTACATAACTGTCAGGGGGAAGGTGAGCTATATTAATGGTAAAACCAAAGAACTGAAGTCTCAGGGTGCAGAGCATGATAGGTGGGATCAGGAAAACAGCATGGTGATGTCATGGCTGCTACTTTCCATGCTGCCTCCGGTCAGGAAGACATTCATGTGGGCTGAAACAACTGTTGAGATTTAGGAGCAGGCAAAATCTACTTATTCAGAGCAACGGCACTATGCCAAAATATACCAGTTGCAAGCTGCCTCCTCTACTTGTAAGCAGGGGGAAAGGAGTCTCTCATCATATTACTCAGATTTGACCTTGTTATGGGAACAGCTAGACCACTATCAGAACATAGACAGGAAGTGTGATGCTGATGCTAAGGCCTACAAGTCTCTAGTTTCCCAGCAACAAGTCTTTGCCTTAGAGTTCATATACTGGGGCTGAACCCAGTATATGAGTCTCTTAGAGTGCAGATATTAGGAAGTAAAGATCTTCCTCCAATACAAGAAGTGTATGCCCTAGTACAATTCGAAGAGAGCAGATGGAATGTGATGAATAACTCAAAGGGGGAGCAAATTGCCGTAGTGGCAAAAGGGAGTGTGGATGTAGGAGGCAGCAATTCTTTTAAGAAGAGCGACTTCCAGAAGAAAGTGGATGATAAGGATAAGTTATGGTGTACTCATTGTTAAAAGGCTAGACATACCAGGAATACATGTTGGGACCTCCATGGGAAGCCAAAGTGGGCTCAGAAGTCAAATAAGAAATCGAATCAGAATAAGAAACCGGTACAGCAAGGTCAAAAAAGGTTCAATACAGCAAACTTAGCCTCTCAGGAGTCTCAGCAATCTACCACTACCAGCCTTCCTGGAACCAATCCCCAGGAAGATATCATTAACACTTTCTATGACCATTTGGAGCTATATGGGAGGGCAACTTGCCAGATGGGTTCTACTCCTCTTGCCTCAACTTCCTTTGCATCTACTTCAGGTAATGATAACTCTACCACATCCTTCCATTTGTCCTCTCATTCATCAGATTTCCCTTGGATAATTGACTCTAGAGCCTCAAATCATATGACGGGTAAGTTAAATTGTTTTCAATCCTATCACCTTTTATCTGGTAGGGACAAAGTGAGATTAGCTGATGGCTCTTTTTCCACCATTGCTGGTCAAGCCAATGTATCCTTTCCATTTGGACTTACCCTTTCTAATGTGTTACATGTTCCACAATTGCCTATAAATTTTTTTTGTCAATAGCATAACAAACTCATTAAACTATTCAGTGACCTTTTTCCCTTCTTGTGTACTACAAGATTTGGACTCGGGGAAGATGATTGGTAGAGGTCGTATGGTGGATGGTCTTTACATACTAGAGAATAAAGCTAGTCTTGTGATTATTGAGTCTACGAGTCATTCTAGTAAGAGTCAAGTCTATTTATGGCATAGTCGTTTGGGTCATTTATCTTTTGAGTCACTAAAGGTCTTGCTTCCAAATTTGTTTAAAGCAGTGTCAGTGTCTGAATTTAAATGTCAAAACTTGTCAATTGAGCAAACACTGTAGAAATCATATTTCTTCAAGAAATAATAAATCTGATTTCCCTTTCCATATTGTTTACTCTAATGTTTGGGGCCATGTTACCTTACCATCTGAGCTTGGCTATAAATACTTCATTACACATTGATGACTACTCCAAATATGCATGGGTGTATCCCATGCGGTCCAGAGATGAAGTGCCAAAAAATGTAAAAGATTTCCAACGAATGATATTCACTCAGTTTCAGACAGAGATTCGAATTTTCCAATTTGACAATGCGAAAGAGTACTTCCACAGTGACCTCATTGAGTTCTTTGCTTCGTGTGGGTCTATCCACCGTAGCTCTTGTGCCAAAACTCCTCAACAAAATGGTGTTGCAGAAAGGAAAAACCGCCATCTCCTTGAAGTGGCTCGTGGGTTACTTATCCGCACGAATGTTCCAAAACGTTTTTGGTTAGATGTTGTGTTATGTGCTGCCTATCTCATCAACCGCATGCCATCTTGCTTGTTAGGGTACAAGGCCCCTCATCATCTCCTCTTCCCTAACACTCCTCTTTTTTATATCCCTCTTCGTGTGTTTGGTTATCGTTGTTTTGTTCAAAACTTGTCTCCTACCCGTGGTAAACTTGATTCTCATGCTATTTCATGTGTATTTTTGGGCTACCCTTCTTCACAAAAGGGTTACCGTTGTTTTGACCCTGTTTCCAAGAAATACTATGTTTCTATGGATGTGTCTTTCTTTGAGAGTGATCCTTTCTTTCCTGTTTCTCATCAAGGAGAGAATAGGGTGGAGGAGAGACATGTCCAAGTACTACCTCATCTACCTAACCCTCCTCCATTTCGTGTCTCCCTTCATCGTCGCAAGGGCTAGCCAAGTTCAAAAGCTATGGAGCAACTTCAAGCTATACTACCAATATCATCAGATCCACTAGGGACAAGTTCCTGTTGATATTCCTGACCCTACTACTATTGATTCTTCATCTGCCAATGACCTTGACATCCCTATTGCACAAAGGAAGGGAGTTAGGTCTTGTACCACCAAACATTCTATCTCCCATTTTGTCTCATATGAGAACATCTCACCCTCCTTTCATGCTTTCCTCTCTTCCACTGATAGCGTCCCTATACCTAAAATGTGGCAAAGGCTCTTTTAGTACCTGAGTGGACAGATGCAATGAAAGAAGAGATAAATGCCTTACATAAAAACAATACATGGGAGTTAGTGGATCTTCTTGTGGATAAGGAATCGACAGGATGGCACAGTAGAAAGGTATAAAGCCCGATTGGTGGCAAAAGAGTTTACTTAGGGGTATGAAGTAGACTATGCAGAGACATTTGCTCTAGTAGCTAAGATGAATTCTATCAGGGTTCTTTTCTCTCTTGCTGCTAACCTTGATTGGGATCTCCACCAGTTAAATATTAAAAATGTCTTCCTGAATGGTGATCTTGAAGAAGAGGTGTACATGGTGCAACTCCTGGTTTCTATGCCCAAGACCAAGAGTAGAAAGTGTGCATGTTAAAGAAGCCCTTGTATGGACTAAAGCAATCACCAAGAGCTTGGTTTAGCAAGTTTCATCTAGTGGTGCAACAGATTGGCTACAAATAGTGTTAGGTTGATCATACATTGTTTGTGAAAAAAGGAAAAGGGAAAATTGTAACCTTGATAGTGTATGTTGATGACATTAGTGATCATAGGTGACTGAAAGGTGGAAATTTAGAGACTAAAGGAATTCCTAACCACTCAATTTGAGGTGAAGGATCTAGGTCCCTTAACGTATTTTCTTGGAATTGAAGTGGCCCGTTCACAAAAGAGAATCTTCATTTCTCAAAGAAAATACATCCTAGACTTGTTACAGAATATAGGAAAACTTGGAGTTAAGCCCATTGACTCTCACATTGATCCAAACCACAGACTAGGTGATTGCCAAGGTGAGATTATCAATGATGTAAAGCAATTCTAGAGACTTGTGGGTAAGCTATTATAATTGTCCATGACCCGGCCAGACATTGCTTATGTTTTGGGGGTTCTTAGTCAATTCATGCATGCCCCCAAGACCATACACTTAGAGGCGGCCGATAGAATCCTCAGGTATCTAAAGAAGTTTTCGGGGGCTGGTTTACTATTCCAAAGAAATGGACACTTGAAGGTTGAGGTATATACAGATACTGACTGGGCCGGATCAATTGATGATAGAAAGTCCACTAGTGGGTATTGTACCTTTGTGGGAGGGAACCTAGTCACATGGGGAAGCAAGAAACAGAATGTTGTGGTGAGGTCCAGTGCTGAAGTTGAGTATAGAGCAATGTTTCACGGAGTGGCTGAAGTAATGTGGAAAAAAAACTTTATGGGTGAACTGGGATTTCCTGTTGACGACCCCATGTCCTTGTATTGTGATAACAAGGCTGCTATTAACATTGCAACCAACCTAGTTCTTCATGATAAAACTAAACATAATGAGGTCAACAAGCATTCTATCCGGGAAAAAATTGTAAATAGGGAAGTGTGCACTCCATATGTCAGTTCCACAAATCAATTTGCAGACATCTTTACCAAGGGATTATATCATCTGCAACCCAATGATTTATGTGACAAGTTGGGCATGATTGACATCTATGTCCCAACTTGAGAGGGAGTGTTGAAATTTGTTAGTTAGTTAGTTAGTTTCCTTATTTAATTAATTAATTCTTTGTTATTTTTCTGTTCTTTAGTGCTGCAGGGGCATTCTTGTAATCTTACTTTCTTTTATTATTAGTTGGGACGCCCTAATATAAATACTAATGACTGGCGCTGCCAGTCACAACTTTTTGATCCCAGAATTCTCTTTGTCTCTCTTCTCCTTTCTCTCTTCCTTTCTTCTCCCTTTCTTTTCTGTTTCTCTGATATGTTCAACCCAGAAAACAAGAACCAAATTACAACCAGGATCAAAATGATACTATAACTGACATTGAAAGTCATGAGACTTGAGGAATAACAGCTTAAGTGTCTGAAATGAAAGACTTATTGCAATGTATTTCCAGCAGATCTAATTCCACCATATACACAGGGATTTCAATATAGTGGCTCATGCAATTGCCAAGAACGTCATTACAAGTTCAATGAACTTTTGTATGAGCAATGAGTCTTATCCTTGGGTGCAAGCTTTCTTTGGTTCCTTCTATGAGGCAATGTTTTCCTCCCTAGATACTGTGTGCTCCCTTTATACTTTTTTTATTAGTTTGTACTCCCCTTTTACTTGAATAAATACATTCTAATACCAAAAAAATCAACCCAACATGATGTTCAGTAAAAGTCTTTAAGCTCACCCACTTCAGCCATTATCAAACAGCACCTAAGGAAGTTGTATCTTATCGGTATATAAAGGTCTATCATATTCAATTACATGGAAAATGCCATGAAGATTATGGTATAAAATTAAAAAAAAAAGAAAATAAAAAATAGAGAGAAATACCTGCATCACCTAAATCCATGAAAAAGCGGAATACAGGGCCATTCTTCCCACTTTTGGTAACCATGGAAAAAATTTTCTTCATCCACTGTGGTGTTCTGCAGACAGAAGACAGGGAAGTCAATGAAACACAATTTTAAAAATATTGCAAGTGGATTACGAACTTATCCAACCACTAGCAAGGTGCAACAAAAGCACAAGGGCCTTTAAGCACCAAAGGCACAAGGTAAGGTGTGCACCTTTTTGAAGCAAAGTGCAAATTTTTAAAAAATAAAAAATGAACAATAGAACATAAAAAATGCAAACATGATTTTTAAAAGAAATTACCAACTGATGGTAGCTCAGTTGGTTAGGTCTCTGGCTGGTTGTAGTGGAGACTTGGAATCAAATCCAACTTCACTATGGTGGGGGGAGGAGGGGTATGAGAAGGGCTACCCCCACCCGGTTCTGTAGCACAATGAATTGAAAAAACAGAAGAAAAACAACTTTTAAAAAGTATATTGGTTTAAATTATAAATACAAAAAAAAAACAAACATATGTGGACTGTACGAAAGTTCTTCAAGCCCTCAACAATTCAAGCATGTGAAACTTTCAATTTATTTATTTTTATCTCCTAGTTGCATTACTTCAAGTGGCTAGTGTGATGTTAAGCATGTTGAGTTCCTAACCCTAGGAGATTCGACCCTTAGCCTTCCTAAAAGCCCCTTGAGTTTCCTTGACCTAAATTTTTGGCCCAGATGGCCGGACCTAAAATAGGCATATGATTGGGCATGCACCTTTTAAAATGGAATGCTCCAGCATTCAGGCAAGGTTCAAATATTGGCTAGTCTATATGTTTCTGGATGGCTGTTACTGAACAAGAATCCCAAAATGCAACATCAGACTTTTGAGTCTAATATCCTCCAACTGTGAATGACAGTCGAGGAATAATTTCACTTGAGGTTCCATGGAGAGCTGAAACATGATCTTCTCTGGGTGGATTGTAACAGTGCAAACAAGGAGAAGAAATTCTACCTTTTAGCATAGACTTAGGTGTGCTCATCTAAGCATAAAGGAGGGGCTGGTATTTGTTCTTAAGACTAAGCACAACACTCTTATGTAAGTGGTTGTGGAGGTATGGGTGGAAAGAGAGAATCAATAGAGACACATGATCAGGCACAAGTATGGCAATTCAAAATTTAATTGGGAAACTACAAAGTTCAGATGGCTGATGGTATATAGAAAAAGCATCTACAAAGGCATCATGAAACATGGAGATTTGTTTTCTTAGCAAATCAGAATTGCTCTGGGAATGGGTGACCATATACATTTCTGGAATGATACATGGTTTAGTGAGAGACCACTTAGTTGGAGTTTCCTTCCCCATTCAGTATGGTGTGCCAAAAGGATGCCACAGTCGAGGAGTATTACAAAATAATTGACAGAAAGATTATGTGGTGCCTAGGTTATGTCAGAACATTAACAACTGGGAGGCTGAAACCCTGGAAAACTTGTTAGATATCCTCAGTAGGTTGCAAACACAAGCAGAAGCCCAATATGTGAGATTATGGAAGGCTAGTAGATTGGATGTTTTCTCTGTTGAATCCTTTATGAGGTCTTGGGGGTGCCTGTCTAAGTGTAGTTTCCTTGGATAAAGATTTGAAAACAAGTGTGGCTTCTAAAATCTCCTTCATGTGGACTACCACCATGGACATGATACCATCAACCATCTCATTTCCAAAGGAATGGTCATTTATGATTTATGTTGTTTATGTGTGCTAGAGGCAGAATCAGTCCATCTTTTGATCTACTGCTCTTTCTATACAATAGTATGATCCCATTTCATCCAGTTGTCCAGGAGACAATGAGTCACACCTCAGGATTTGCCTATGCTGATTTCATCTTTGCCAGAGGGCTATAGCAATTGGGATAAAATCTTATGGAACCTACTTCCTTTTTGGTCTGTTGGGTTGATTGAAAGGAGAGAAATGGCAGGATTTTCGAAAAGAAAGAATCTTCCCTAGAGGCTGTCCTTGGGAAGGTTGAATATTTGCATTTTCAGAAATAAGGCGGTAAATGCAATTATTTCTTCCCCTTATGGGAATTTCTCTCGTATTCTTCCACTTATTCCACTCTGAAAATATTACTTACATAAAGGAACTACAATCTATAACTTATGAACGAGGTACTTGAGCAAAAGAGAAGTTCTAAGTATCATCAATTAGGAAAAATGGGATGCAGGGTAATGAGAGAAGAGATAGATACAAAAGCAAATTACAGAGGAGGAAAGAGCTTAAGGAAGCAGACCTTTTAGAAAGGAAAGGAATCTCGATATGAGTAGAGACAGCCATGAGGCCAGTGCCGGAGAGATCGCACATACTGAAAACCTGGCCTACAAAGGCAGGGCCACCGCCCTTGGCACTTGAGTTGAGACCGGCAATTCTGACAGTGGAAGGGAAACTCGATCCCCCGGAAGTCATGCCCTTGATTGCCGAAGCAGAAGATAAGGAATTGCTCTCGTTCGGATGCGACGGGGAGGAGGAGGAGGAAAAGGTCGTTGTAGATAGAGAAAGTATTGGCGACGGTAGCGCCTCAGCGAACAGGAATGGCAGACATACGAATGGTGAAGTCGAAGACGAAAACGAGGACGGACATGATGAGGTACAAAGGGGACTGGACGCTTTTGAGGTCATCGTCTTGGCATTATAGGTTCTACTGTTGTTGTTATTGAAGGGGAAGAGAGCAAATAAATTGGAGGAGGCAGATTTTACAAAACTAGCAAAGTTGTTGTTATCGTTCTGTAGAAGCTTGTTCCTGCTGCTGCTTTTATGGTGAATTGAGGCCATGGAGCTTGACTGATTTGCTTCACGTACCACTGACCAAAATAGGGATATATCACAGGTGGACCTGTGCGATATATGTGTAAATTCTCTCCAATCGTCTCCTCGAGCACAAAGGGATTCACATTTGGAATGGAGTTATACGACCTCCCAAACTAATCTTCGCCTGAGAATTGAGGAGGGTAGAAGACTAGAATCTTCCGTTTCCTCGAACCAGTCACCACTCACCAGACACCAGAGAAAGAGAGAGAGAGAGCGAATAATATGTTTTATGATTTTATCCTTTTCCTTTTCAAAGTCTGTTAGCCAACGGCAGACAATATAAGCATTAATCGGTGATTATTTATATTTTATTATTTTTGGGGTACTGATTAGTAATCAACTAGTGAGTTGTGACCGTTAATCAGGAATCATGCGATGCGTATAAATAGGGACTGAGCTACAACTTGGACGGGCCTGCTTCCTACCTAATCTGACCTTTTTCTGGGCTCTAAGTTTTGGGCTGAGATCATCAGCCTAAGCCTGAAATGGGAGTATAATCCCAAATTCCCAAGTGATCCGATTTATATTCCTCCTCACACGAGCACGTTAAGTCGCACATTAGAAACATCTCCTAATGTTTTCTTTTATGGAGAAATAAATTAAAAATATAGAAGTATGAAACATTTGAATATAAAGATATTCTACTTCTACCATAAAAAGACATTTAGGCCCGCCTAAGTTTGTATCGTTGTATGAGGCCTAACTCAGCCCCAATTATAATTTGTACTAGGTTTAGATTAGCTATAAGTTAGGCTTAGGTTGACAAGTTCGGAACTTTGACCTCAGGTCGTACCAAGCCGAATCTGAAGTCTATGTTTAGGCTTTTTTTTCAGGGTCAAAATTTGTAAGTCCAAAGTACTGTTGATTAGGTGCGAGCTCGGAATTAATGCCAATTTATGGGTGAGTGTTGGTGCATAGAGTGAATTATTGACATTTTGAATGTTCATAGCTCTGTAGTGAAAATCAGAAATTTGCATTGAATATATCCGTACTTTTTCATTTTTTTTTATTTGATGCCATGCACCACTAATAAGTAATATTAATAACCACCCCCCCCCCCCCTCCCTCTTTTTCGTTTCAAATGTTGGAGGGAACTAACTAATATATCAACAGTCACTTCTCGATTGGTTTGATGAATTTGGGGGTTTACATCTGCGCCCCACAATGCCCTACATCACATCACGACCTTGTATTGGGAACATCTTCCAATGATAAGTATGAGAGATGATAAAACATCATTGGCAGATGTTCCAAATATAAGGTCGGGGTGTACTATGGGGCATTATGGGGCGCAGATGTGAACTTGAATTTGGGTTCAGGCCCAATTGACCTCAAACCTCACCCAACTCAGCCTATACAAGCATAATCACATTCTTCACACCTTGCCTGATTTCAATTTAGTAATGCTGAAAACGGCTTGAATATATAAGTAGTTTAAATTTGATCGGTTTATATTCTAATTTGAATCAAATCTTAATTGGATTCATATGAGATTTTAATTGAAATTCGGATTACAAAAATTACAATGGATATTGAATGGTATAAATAAATTAAACTAAAAATAATCAAATTAATAAAATGAACTAAAAATAACTTTGATTTTATATTATACTATAAACCTATTCATGGGCCAGGCCCATGAAAATTTTTGCAAAATCTAAGCCTGAGCCTGGCCCAATTTAAAGTAAGGATAGAGATAATAAACATTATATAATCAATTTTAATTTCTCCAACCTGCACTGAAATTAAAGCAAGTATCCGTTTTATAATAGTAAAAACAATCAAAATTAACAAAAAAAAAATTAAAAAGACAACACTCATATCAACTTTACTAATAGATAAATGAAATAAAATTATATGAGATTGGATAAAGGTGGATCCATAATATATGCATGTGAAATCAAATACACAATACTATAGGCCTGAGCCCTTTACCTTAGCATACTGACCCCACACAGGACCCAAAAAGCGTATCATAATTGGAGCGCCAAATTTTCCAATTTCCGTTTTGATACCGCGGAACCGCTTTCAATTCATAGGGCAAGCTCCTATCAATAAACCATTGCCACCTTGTCACGATTGATTTCTTCACCACGCCATCTAACTGTCATTGTGTGTCTTGGGTACGTGGGATTATGTATACATTTTGTATGTGGGGATTAATATCAATATTGTAATTTTTAGCATGGTTTTTAAAATTGGACCAGACCGGATGGTCAGACCGGAAAAATTGGGAATCGGTCAAGTGACAGGTTTCGGTTTTCCCCAAAACTGAATTATTTTTAAACCGTTGATTTTGGTCAGCAAACCGTTGACTCGGGCAATTAATCGTTCAAACGGTTTTGACCATTCTTTATTTTTTTTATTAGAATGAGCCAACCGCTCGGTTCGAATGATCGAACCATTTGACCCGGTAACCAGACCCCTGATCGGTTCGGTCTCTGGGTCGGTTTTGAAAACCATGATTATTAGTATGACTTTTCACCATTTTAATTTATTCTTTTGTCAAACCTTCAAAAATTTATTAGTAGGCGGGAAGTAGGTAGTTAGAAGAGAACTGAGGTTAAAGGTTAAGCATGGGGACCCCTTGACACATAAACTATATACTTGTACTTACCTTGCTATGCGATATAAAGTGTCCTTTTAGTACTCTGCGTATCTTCTTTATTGCTTTTTGTATGTTGTTGCGTGCTAGTAGGCTTACTTAACCCCTTTTGAGTACCGCATGAGACCTCAACAATTATCCTCAGGTTAAGCATGGGGACCCCTTAACACATAAATTGTGTACTTGTGCTTACCTTGTTATACGATATAAAGTGTCTTTTTACTATTCTGTGTATCTTCTTTATTGCCTTTTGTATGTTGTTGCTTGCTTCTGTAGGCTTACTTAACCCCTTTTGAGTATCGCATGAGGCCTCGACAATTATCCTCATGACAATTGGTATGAGAGTAGGTTCATTGACACATTACGTCCCTCAAGTAGCGACACTAGTGGTGGTACACACAATCAATACGTTGTATATGAGATATTGCATGGGATTTTCCAAGCCCATGAGACCAATGAGGCATCAAACGATGAAACCATCAAAGATAAAGGCCTGAAGGGTCACACATCCAAATTGAGCAAGAACAAAAAGTTAATTGACAAGCTTGCCACCTTTGATACACACATCCTCCGATGTTGGGGAGATACATGATCGAGTGGAAGAGATCCACCTCAATGTTGAAGCCATTGAGAGTTCTGAAGTGGAAATGGAAGCCCGCTTAAATGACATCCTGAATGAGGTTCGAGACATCTTGAATGGCACCCTTAAAGAATCTCTTGGCACCTCCCAATCCATCATACAAGACTAGGTTGACGAGATAAGAGCCGAATAATGTGGAAGAGAGCCATGCCCACCCCCACTTCTATTCGAGGGTAACTAGAAGAAATCAGGAGAGAATGGATGGCCATGAAAGCTACCATGGCCGCTCCCACCAACATCCAAGTATTAATTCGACAAGATGAAAAGGAAAATGTCAATCCTAAAGAAAGCAATGGTTAGCACTCCTAGCCCCTCGACAATGCTAGCCCTTACCTACATAAAGATTTGGGAATCTACACCTTATATCGACAATCAAGATGCTCAAGAGCTTGACAACTTCCTATGGCAAATGGAACAATACTACACTATTGTTGGCATTGACAATGATAGAACTCAAGTTCGCACTACAACTACATATTTAACCAACATTGCTATGTTATTGTGGCGTAGGCGATGCCAAGACATTTATTAAGGCACTTATAACATCAACACAAAGGTTAATTGCAAGTGAGAGCTAAAGCGGCAATTCTATCCAAAGAACATGGAGTATTGAGCTAGAACTTTAATGCCACAACGTACAAGACCTTGCCACAACAATGACAGTGAGAAAAAACAACTTACTAAGACAAGACTATCAAATGATGAAACCCATAAGCCACTCAACCCACATGCCTCGAACTTGAGTGGGGGTGAGAACCAATCATGCTCATCTCAAGACAACTCTAACTTCAACAAGCCAATAAAACATTATGTTGGGAAGAAACCACCAAGAGAACAAGGCTCTTAGTACAAGTGCAAGCTGAAATCCACTAGTCCTCCACATTCTTACTTTATATTATGGTGACAGGCATTTGGTTCATGATTTCCCAATGAAGAAGAATTAATGCCCTTGTTACCAAGCCTAATGATGACAAGCAAAGTAACGAGGTGAAGTAGTGTAGGCACCAAGAGCAATGTTTTGAAAACCGACCCAGAGGCTGAACCTTTTTTGCCTCTGGGTCACAGGTCAGACCATGCCATGTTAGTAATACCTAAATTCAT